CCCAATTCAGCATTAATATTTGTGCAGCGATAGGTAGGAATTAATAAAAACTGTAAATAGCCTCAGGTCAGGTTTTGCCACCAAGTAAGTTTTATGTCAAACTTGGGAACACTTCTTTGATTTCTAAAGGTTTCTGAATTGAGAACTGCAGATAAAAATTTACGAACCTATCATAACAATTTGTAAAAACTGACCTCTGTGGAGTTTTTGCTACCTGCCAGACAGTGACCAGGAGATTTATTGTGTAAGTCTCACAGCAAACCTGTGAGGTGGACACTACGGTCTACTTTCACCTCTGAGGTTTGCACAGCTTGGCTTGTCCAGAGCCCACCAGTGAACTGCAGCATTACCTAGTGTGAAATATTTTTGGTATGCACGCCTTTATTTTTTTAATGCTTTTTAGACTGAAGGATAATTGCTTTACAGTATTGTGTTGGTTTTCGCCATACATCAGCCTGTACTAACCATAGGTATGTACACATGTCCCCTCCTTGAACTTCCTCCGACCCCTCTTCCTAGGCTTGCAGTATGCTGGTACACCGAGGGAGAGAAGATGATATACTTATTTTCTAGGCACTTTTACTATAGGCACTTGATTTACCAGTCCCATTTAGTCCTGACCTTAAGGGCCCATTATTATAGTTGAAGTAACAGATTCATTGAGGTGAGCTGTCTCTGAAATGGTCAAACTTTGGTCTAGAGACTCTCCGGTTGAAGCTTTCATATTCCTCCCTTTTTTACATTGCGGCCAATCTGAGCTGCTTATACGTCCCACAGATCTCTTGCCCGCCCCCGCCCCAGCTTTTGCACTTACTGCTCCTTTCCCTAGGACTTACCCCAAGTCTTTTTGTTCTCCCACGCTGCAAAGACAGGACTCCTCAGGATTCCTCCCTTGATAACCCTTGCCTTGATACCTTTAGGAGCTCTTCAAGGTGCTCCCATAGTGCCCTGCACTTAACGCAGGGAGCCTGCTCTTTAAATGGTAGTTCTCCACCAGACTGGGAATGGCAGTTAAGTGTTTATTCCATGTAACACTATTCATTTCCCCAAGGCCCAATGCAGTACCTGGCACTTATGTTCCAATAAGTATGAGTGTAGAAAATAGGACTGACAGGAGCTTGTTGAAAAGTTATTTTTTTAATTACATATTTTTAAATAATTTTAAATTGTTCAAAAACATGCAGATCCCCAATTTCTTGAGTTGTCCAAATATAAAATAGAGTATATCTAATAAGTCCCAATACTAGAAACTATCACATAAAAATGCTCATTCAAAATTTATATTTTCAGTACAATATATTACCAGTATCCCTTCCCCATACTAAACAAGTCAATGGAAAAATCCTGATTTCCCTTAGTCTTAATAAATATCTTACTTGTTTATAACTGTAGATTTTTAGATATTTTACTTATCTTTGAAGTAGTCAGGAATTGTAACTGTTTTGCTGATGAGAAAAATGGCCTCTGGTTAAAAACCGTCTTTGTCAAAAGATTCAGACAAAAGATTTGGTGTCCAGGTTTCCTAACTGTGTAGTCCCGTACTGTTTTTGACTCCTACTACAGTTTGATGGCCCTTTGAAATATTCCTTGTCCAATACGCACCAGTAATTTATGGGGTTCAACTTTTTAAAACTTCCCCATGATTGAATTACTATTTTTTATTCTAAAGGCCATAGGTGTTACAGAAATGCTTAATGTTTCTAATGCTAGTTGAAAGAAATTATGTACTCTTGTTTTAAAATTGCTCTTCAGAAAATACAGTGATTATTTTACACATGATGTGTATTGCCATAAAGTGTTAATGGAAACTTTTGAAGTGATAGCTTTAGATTTTTCCAAAATGAAAAGTTAAAGCCTTCCTTGATTATAAACTTTTTTTTTGTAGTTCAAGATCACATTGGACTCATCTTAATTAGCATAATCCATATGTTTTGGAGGTGGTTTTTTTTTCCTCCAGAAAATCTAGGATTTGGGGGGATTTCCTGGCAGTCCAATGGTTGGTTTGTTTTGTTTTGTTTTTCAAGTCTCAGTGTCCACTCTGATGGATTGTACTCTAGATTGGAGCACTGATTGATGTCCAACTCTATTTTTTTAACTACTTTATGGTGAAAGTATTCCCCAAATAGTAAATTGGAATGTTTCCAATTAATATGAATACTGTTTGGGTATGGAGAACAGGTTGCTTTACAGTGCAATGCTGTAAAACAGGAAGTGACCTCTATTTCTAATCCCTTTGGTCAAGGCTTTATTATCCCCTCTATCTTCCAGGATTTGATGTTGAATTTAAACTTTTGAAAGCCAGAGTTAGATTTTAATGTAATGCTATGATTAATTAACCATAGTTTTTCAAAAACTAAGAAGGAAATGAGTGATTCTAAAAACCTGAACTGTAACACCAGGTGAAATTGAATGGGTTGCTTAGTTAGGTTTTTTGCTCTAGAATTATTGGGAACTTTGATACAGAACCACTTTCTGTTTCGAAACAGCTCACCCTGTGTGAAAAGAATGTTAGTCTTCGGTAGACTTTAAACTTGTGCATGGATAAACTTTCTTTCAGGTGTTAGTCCTAAGAATCTACTATTGTGTGATGTTACTTTTTAGTATAAAACCTTACATGGAAACGAATGAATAAATATATTTGCTCTACATTCATGATGTGTTTTTTAATCTTATGAATTTAAGAGCAAGGTTATAGCTGTTGTGACAGCAGGCTTCCTGTTCATTATCTTTATCATTCCTCATAACCATACCACATGAACTAAAACTCTGTAAATGGCTCAATATTGAGCAACCTATATATAACTATATTGTATATTCCTGGGGCAGAAAAAAAACTGAGATCAACTCATTAGATGCCCCAAAAATCTGAAGAAATACAGTGGTGTTTTTTTTTAAGCTAGCAAAAAAGGGGGGGGGGGGACCAAATCTAGGAAAAAGAAGCATAAATAGAAACTTCCTTACTGTAATTTTTTAAAATCTCAAAATTAAAAATGAGAATCATATTTAAACATTATAAGCATTACCAGGAGAGTTGTGAAGACTACTGTGCTCGCACTATTTAAAATTTCATTGTTGTTTAAATTCTAGCTTATGCAAAAGAGAAAAAAGGTATAAACATTGCAAAGAGAAGGTAAAATTATATTTCACTAATGGCATAATTCTTTATCTGCAGATTCCAGAGAATCAACTGAGAGACTTTCAGAAATAATTCAGTAATGTCAGTGCTTACAAAAGTAATACACTAAAATTTAAAAGGCTCTTCCCGTATATGAACAACCAGTCAATTAGAAAACATAATGGAACACCCAATTTACAACCACGAAAAAAAGTTTGCCATTTAGAAATCTAACTCACAAAATATGTATAGGAGTCTTAATTTTTAAAAACTGTTGAGTGGTACTAAATGACAATGACAGGAACCAGGATATACCTTGTTTCTCAAATGAGAATATTTTTATATTTTAAATATATCACATGTCCTCTAAATCTGTAAATTTAATTAGGTTTTATCATTGTGCTGTTGGGATTTTTTGTTTGTTTCATAAAGTGACTTAGAAAAAATAGGCATGACAATATTCAGGAAAACCTGAAAAAATAGTAATAGTAGATCATAAAATTTTTTTAAAAGTATAAACCTGCCCTAATAAGATGGAATGTTATACTGTGGATCAGTAGAATAGAGTTCACAGTACCTTTGGGAAATGATGGAGGCTCTGTGGCCTGGTGGTTTTGGAATCAGACTATACCTGGGTTTGAATCTCAGTGTTTGTCACTAGCTCTGTGACTTGAAATAAGTTAACTTGCTAAGCTTCCTTTTCTCCAGCTGTAAACTGGGAGTGGTAATAGAATCTGCATGTATCTGTGAGATTACGAACCTAAAGCACTTAGCATGGTAGATGGATTTTCAGTGTTTGTTATCAATAGCAGCTGTAGAATGTGGTAAAGGTAGCTTGTGTGGTCAGTTAAGAAAAGATAGATTACTCAGTAATTATTATTTGAAAGAAAAACAGAAGATTAAACAAGTTAAACTGTATAAATACTCTTAGAAAGTATAGATGAATTTTGTCTCATCTAATACCCTTAATGTCTTATAAAGCATTAAAAAAAAAAAAAGATGTACTACTAATTAGTAAAATGATCAAAGGCAAAAAAGTACATGCTATAGTATTCTGTTTATATGAAATCAAGGAGCAAGTGAAAACTAAAAAAGTGATTGCTGAGTGTCAGAGGAATTGATTGGGAAATAACATAAGTAAATTTTATGGTGTAAGGGAAATGTTCTATATCTTGGATGGTTACAGGGGCATATACAACTCTCAGAGCTTGTTGACCTGAGCACTAATCCATGCATTTCATTGAGAGTTAATTATACTTGAGTTATAAAAATTGAGGAAAGTGGTCCAAGCATATTCACAGAAAAAGAAGTCTAAATGGGGTATAAAATTTAAATAATGCTCTACTTTCCTCTTAATTAATAATCAGATGTAAGTTAAAACAAGATGCCAATCTTTAACCTGTCATTGAAAATGGTGTATAAATTTAATAACATCCAGTGGTGAAGAGGAGCTTTAAAAAAGTAGTGTCAATTGGAACAGGCTGTTTGAGATGGATTTTAGATGACCTTACCTGTTGACTGTGTATTTCACTTCTAGTGCTTTTTCCTGGTAATAGACTCAAAAAGATAGGTGTTTAGAGATGTTCAGTGTTGTCATTTTAAAAAACTCAGAATGCAACAGCCTGAACAGCCACCAACTTGAGAGTACAAACTAAATTTTGGATCATTTTTATATGCTGCACAGCCAATAAAAAGGGATGAAGTTTATCAAGGTGTTTGAACTATTATGGAGATTTTTCCTACATGAAGAAAGTCATTTTATAAATTATTAAGATTCCATTTAAATAATATATGCATAATTCCTTAAAGAATATAAAATATAATAAACTGGTTTTGAAATATTCCTTCTTTTTTTTTGTTTTGTTTTGGTTTTGTTTTTAGGAAAATGTCTGATGAATTTTCGGTAAGTTGATGCATTTATTCTTCATAAGTTTTTCGGCTCTTAGAAAAAAAAGACATGGCCCTAAGTCTTCCAATTTAAAAGAAGTGCTTTTTGTGATTCTTCATTTTTTTGTGTTTTTTTTTTTAGCATGTGATTTTGAGGGATGATTTGTCTTTATTTAGCTATATATTCAAAAATGCATTTTCTTTATGAATCTTTAAGTATAATTTTTTAAAGGCTTCTGTTTTGTTTTAAGCTGATAGTGTTAATTTTAGCCAACATCTATTGATAATTATATACCAGGCACTGTGTTAAGTGCATTGAGTGAGTTATCTTGTTGAGGCCTCAGGTTAACTCTAAACTGTTGTTTTGAAAATGAGGAAACCAAAGCTCAGAGAGGATGTATCACTTGTTTGAGGTGAAGCCAGGATTCAGTTCACACTGTGTTGATTAGTTGTATTTAGAAAACTTGAGCTTCTCTGAGGAATTGGAATTGTAAAGCTGATATTCAAGGAAACTCCTAAATTTTTTATTAAATGAGGTGGTTTTTAAATGGAACAGCTTGGCTTTTGAAGAATTCCTGACCTTCTAGCTTACCATCCTTCATGGGTTGATAATCGTGTTTAGCATTGCTTGTCCCTGAATAAGATCAATAAGACATGCTTGTTTTGTATTCCAGTTGGCAGATGCGCTACCTGAAAACTCCCCTGCCAAAACCTCTGCTGTGAGCAATACAAAACCCGGCCAACCTCCTCAAGGCTGGCCAGGTTCCAACCCCTGGAATAACCCAAGTGCTCCACCTGCTGTGCCATCTGGACTCCCGCCAAGTGCAACACCCTCCCCCGTGCCTTTTGGACCAACGCCAACAGGGATGTACCCCTCCGTGCCTCCCACCGGACCGCCTCCGGGACCCCCGGCTCCCTTTCCTCCTTCTGGACCCTCGTGCCCCCCACCTGGGGGTCCTTATCCAGGCCCTGGCCCCACTGGGCCATATCCTACACCAAATATGCCCTTTCCTGAGCTTCCAAGACCATATGGTGCACCCACAGATCCAGCTGCAGCTGGTCCTTTAGGTCCATGGGGATCCATGTCTTCTGGACCCTGGGCACCAGGAATGGGGGGGCAGTATCCCACCCCCAATATGCCATATCCGTCTCCAGGGCCATACCCTGCTCCTCCTCCTCCCCAGGCGCCAGGGGCGGCCCCACCTGTTCCGTGGGGCACTGTGCCACCAGGAGCCTGGGGACCACCAGCGCCGTATCCTGCCCCTACAGGATCGTATCCCACACCAGGACTCTATCCCACTCCCAATAATCCTTTTCAAGTGCCTTCAGGACCTTCTGGTGCTCCACCGATGCCTGGTGGCCCCCATGTGAGTGTTTAATTTGTTATTAACGTGCAGTAATAGTCCCATACGCTGAAAAACTGTCTCCAGTTTTGAATGGACAGTTAGAAAGGTTTAAAAAGGGTTAAAAACCTTTTTTTCTTTTAAGGGGTGTGTATACAAAATAAGAGTAAATTTCAAGCTTCAGATAAAATTTTAGATAAAGCATTTAAAAGGATGAAAGCACAAGTATTCCTCGTATTAAAAACACAAAAATTCCTCAAATATCCCTCAAAGAATTTGTAATGTAGTAAGCAGTATCCTCAACAGCATCCTTGAAGTAAACTCAAGAGATGTGTTTCTTTGGACTTTTTTTTTTTAACTTCTCTCAGTAATGTTTTAATAGCATCAGACCAAAGCAGAAAGTTCAATGAAAGTCATCTCTGCCAGTCTGGCTAGACACAAGAGGTAGATTTTTAGAGAATCCAGAGCAGTGCATGTGTGACGTTGCCCGTCTTTGATGCAGCTGTTGTGTTTCTCAGCCGGGGTTTTGTTAGGTCCTTCACAGTACTGAGCTCAAGCTTACCCCGCTCTTCTGCATTGCCATTTAGATGTAATGCTGTGTGCACTACTGTCAGCCAAGCTGGAGTAGGGTTGACATCCTGGTTGAGCACCCTGTCTTGGGTCTATGACCAAGTAGGAAAGCCACCTTGTTCCCCTGTGAACTGAGCCAAGTCAGAGTCTCCATAGGGGAAAACAAAATCTATTCTTAAAGGCCTAATTAGATCTCCAACCAGATTAATCACAACCAGTTAATCTTAACAAAGTGTCCCTGAAACTTCTTTTCATGAGTATAACTTTTTGCCATATATAGATATATATATATGGTTTTAAATATTTTAGTTAAGTGGATGCTAGAATAAGTGATGATTTGCTGTTTGGATTTGTTAAGCAATAAGTTTTAAGTCACAGCAAGGAGTTAATAAACTCCACTTACAAAATCTAGAAGTTTACTTTTTCTTTTTTCTATTGCAGTCTTACCATTAAGTTAACAATGGATGAAGAGATGACGCTTTGCTTTTTGAAGTACATAGATATATGCACATGAATGCATATATAAAAATTGCTGTTTCCCTATTCTTAGAGGGCATTCATGAAAGAACAACTCTTGCACCTCTCAGAAGATGTCTGCCTCTTGTGCTTGGATGTATAGTACATCTGATGGATACAATCAGATAAAAATGTAAACGGAAATCATTCAAATGTGATTTTTATTTGGTTTTTATGGAAAGTTAAAGTAATTACGTATATTGAATAGCTCTTTGCTACAATTTGTTTAAAACAAATTTTTCAATTTGTTTAAATTATGAAACTAAACACTTACATAATCACTTTTTCCCCTAAATAAACACACTTTGAAAACAATCACATTGTCATAATTTAAACAAATGATGCTTCTCAACATCTTGAGCTGTTCTCTCTATGGGATAAATAAACCTGGTCGTTCTGAGGTTATATTTTGGGTATACATTTTAAAACTGTTGGTGATTACTGTCAGATGTTGAGTTCATTTTTATCCTTGAGCTTTTAGAAAAAAACTTTCCCTTTGTTTTTAGTTCCACTGATTTATTTTTAGCCAGATGGGTCATACAGCTCTAAAATATGCCCTTTGTGGACACTTGTTTCTTTTTAATGCAGGCCGGCATGTAAATGTAAATTATATTCTTAGAAAATTGGTGATCTCTTTGTATTGTTTTAGAATAGATTGAACTGTCCATATTGCTTTGGGAAGAGCTCAAGGAGGAAATAATTCTCTCCTTTATCTGGAACCTTAAATTGGAGGAGACCCTGCAAACTACTTCATAGTAACAAGTAATTTGCATTCCCACAAAATACTCTTCTACAGGGCCCTTCCTGTAGTCCCTTTTCCCTCAGTTTTTTAGAAGGGGCACATCCCATAATTCCTCCCTGATACTGAAAACTGGCCTGCTCTAGGGGTCTATCACAAACACAGAAGTTATGTTTAGAGAACCTCAGTCATACAGACATGACTGTTCTTTGTAGAAGTGTGATCGAAATATGTTAATGTCTTTCAGAGTCTGGTTAAGCTATGTCATTGTGTCTCGCATAGTTTTCCTGGATCTGTTTGTAAAGTGCTTATGGTTAACAGTTCAGTTCTGTATTTGTTGACAGTAAGACAGGTAAATAGGTAGAAGAATGAGTGCCACCCAAAAATTATCTCTAGCTCTAACACTGAGCATAATCATAAAGTATAGATCTCTGCAGTTGAGTTTAAAGTAGTGTAACTGTGTTACTTAAAAATAAAGTGTTGCTTGTAACCTTCAAAATAGCTTTTTGGCACCTTATCTTTAAATCATATTTTTAGATTTGGGGTAGAACTGATGATGTTACTTGTCAATAACATTTTGAAATTTTGAATGTATCCATTAGGTTACTAAAATGTATTTGTGACTTTCTTGACCAGTATATGAGAGATTTATGCAGGAGCTCTTTTGCTTAGAAAGAATTTGGTGGTTTTATCTCTCTTATAGTTAAAATGTCAAGAATGCCAAATGCTGCCAGTTTAATGGTTTGTTAGCTACCTCCTTTTAAGAAAGCAAGATTGTCAACTTTCTAGAGTAACAGTCAGTATTTAGGCCTCCCTTAAGTAAATGATAGACTCAAGCTTTCAGAATTGAAACTAATTTGTTTAGGTATTTTCAGACTGGGGAATGTTAGCTTTTTCATAGTGGCACAATCTTTCTTTCACTTCTTTGCAGGGACAAGTGGCAGCTATCTACAGTACTCTTGAAATCTGTTCTAGCCTTCCATTTGTAAGGCAGTAGCCTTAGAAGATATCATAGCTTAAATTGTCAGTTAATATCATAATATTAGCTAATTTTGGAAGGATGATAGGAAAAGTGAAATGGCAACAAAGATCTCTCCTTTTGGTTATTTTCATTGTCCTACCTTGGGATAAGTTGACAGCTCTGGCTGTAGATAAAATATTTAACACTAGAGAGGGTAATGTTTGACTACAAGAAGAAGAGATAGCAAGTTTGAGACTCTGAATCCTAGAATCTCTTTATTATTATGAGAGAAAACCTTATGCTAAAGGATTTGAAGGGCCATGAATATAAGGTTTGGAACTACTACCCCTTACATTAACTGCTGCAACCCACACTGCCCAGAGTGCCCTAGATGATACTGCCATTTTAAAATTGGTTTTTCAAGGGTTTTCCAACTGATACTTGGGAAAATTTTTTTTAATGAATCAAAATTGAAGGAAATAAGAATTTCTCCACTTGGGGGAGGGACATCTCAATTCTTGAGGGTACTCTGGGCCAGCAGGTATTTTTGGGTTCAGTTTTGGGTGGAGTTAAGAAAAGCAGAAGTTGTTTCAAGGACAAAACGGAAGAAAGCATCTAAGAAGGTTTTTTGTCTTTACTAGGGAATAATGTTACTTTTAAAACAAATTATGCTAGGCCAAGATTAGTTTGTGGAACAGGCTGCTTGTTAGAAAGTATGTTTGGCCTTAAGGGAGTATGCAGTAAATATGCTGGCATTTGGACTTTCAGAGCAGAAATTTTAAGACAGATTTGATGGAGATAGTTGAGATGTGTTGAGGAATAGTATGTCTGGAGTTAGGATCTTAGGTTTTGAAATTGTTGAGCCTAAAGGTGACAAAAATTCAAATACAGACCTTGGGTCCTCACTCATACACACAGTCCTCAAAAATCAAGGCTCCTTAAAGGAGTGCTTACAATGCCTTGGCTTGTCTTACTAGACTCGGCCTAATGCTTTTGAAGATGGCTGTTTACAGCTCTGACTGCATAGCCCTTTTTAAAGATTATTCAGGAATAAGTGCATTTTCTAATTACTAAAGGGCCTCCTTTGTCAGTTTTACTGCTTACTGTTTTCAGTAGAGAAGAATAGGGTGGCTCAGACAGTGAAGAACCTGCCTGCAAGGCAGGAGACTCAGATTCGAGCCGTGGGTCAGGAAGACCCCCTGGAAAAGGGAATGGCTACCCACTCCATCATTCCTGCCTGGAGAATCCTGCGTACAGAGGATAATACAGGGGCAGAGAACAAAGGGGGTGGTCTGTCAAACCGCTACAATGGGATATTGGAATATTTTCTAGGAAACAAGTCAGTTTTGCCCCTGGTATTTTTACCTCACAGTTATTAGTGCTACCTATTGTACAACTTTTGGAACTTTGTGTATATCAACATAGCTCTACTCAAGAGTTTCAGTTAAAATACTGTGCCTAGCTTGCAAGTCAGTCAGTTGCCTACACTTCTAAGAGATTCGTGCCAGTGTCTTCCTTTCTCACGCTGAATAATCTAGTGCTAGATTTATAAAATGCCTGGTTTAAAAACCTTAGAAATTAAACCTAAGCACAAACCTTCAAGTGTTCAAGTTTTTGAAAAGCATAAGGCTTAATTCAGATGGATCACACTGATCCACTGTACTATGCATAGAAAGTGGTGGGTGGCTTTCAGGGAAGACTATAATTTTATCTTAATAGAGCAATATTTAGTGTTGAGGACAGGCACTGTTCTTTTTAATTTCACAATTCTGCCAAGTAAAACAAAAATTGCCAATAAAGTAATTGGTATTAAAGAAGTGGCCATGCAAGCTTCTGGCAAGAGAACGCCTCTGAAGACTGCATTCATTCAGCAGACACTTAAATGTCCATAATCCAGGTGCTTTTGTCAGATGCCAGAGATACAGTGATGAAGAGGATGCCCTCCAGAGGCTTACAAGCCTAGGTAGGGGGAGGCATTACAGATTTGATGAGTACATCCAGTATTAGTTTTTCTGGATAAACATTTTAGTATTCCTGCTGGTAGAAGTTTTGGACTAGCCTTTGGGCATTTAAAGAACAAAGTATGGAATACCTTTTTTTTTTTTTCAAGTAAAAATGCTTTTCAAGACTGTAGTGTTTGTTGATGCAACTATCCAAGCACAGAAAGTAATGGGATGTTTGCCTCTTCAGTTTTCCCCTGGATAAAGGCACTTTCACTGCCTGCCACTGGTCAGCAGATCCTGATTTGTTGCCATTAAGTAAACTTGACTTCTTATGTGTGCTCTATAAAAATGGTTTTGTATTTTTTCCTTGATATTGTAATTTTTTTCATTGATTTAATAATGACAAATTTAATGTATGTAAGTGTCTATGCATTTTAAGTTAAACTGCCTAAAATGTGATTTGCCACATATACATTTGTTTGTATTATAAACTGTAAGCAATCCGTTGGAGATGTTAGGTTTTATCACCTGCTGCTGTATTTGTAAACAAAGACAAATGTTGCTTTAAGACGTAATTATAATTAGGGATAGTCTATGGATGTGATACTTGATATTTTTTAAGATAAACTTGTTTGCTTTTGTGTATTATACCTGAAAACTTTTTTTTTTTCATGTATTTTCATGGTTTCACAGTTTTTTCACTTATTTTAATCTTTAGGCCCAATCCTGGGCTTCCCAGAAAAAGTCCAGAGCCTAATTAACTGCAAACTTGTTGTCATAAAGAGAGAAAGAGAAACAGCCTGAGGGAACCACCCCCCCCCCCCCCAACGTGACCTGCATTCTCTAAGGCTGCCTGGGAACAATGCCTCCTCCACAAACCCATCTTTCAGCAACGCAGTGTCCCTCGTGAGGATCTCCTCTCCTCCCTTTAAGGCTGGCCTGTTCTTCGTAACCGGGTTATCTGCACAGGGAAATCGGGGAGCCCTCCCTCTCTGCCCCTGCCGCCACACACCCCTGCTTCCCTCTACCAAGGACACTGCTGTGCCGGCAGTAAGGGCCACTGGGCCTGTGGTTGCTGTCCTCTGTCCACAGGGGGTTTGCTAGCATTTCTTGAAACCCAGTATGAGTGGGGCTATAAATGAGTGAAATAATTTGTGGTATATTCTATTTTTGAAAAGGATTTCTGCTTTTTGCTTTGGACCAGAAAAAAACATTTGCATTTGATGTCTTAACTCGTATTTCTTAAAAGTACCCACTAAAAGTGGGGCTGTGAAATAGGTAGTGAAATATAAGA